CAGAATTCCTGAGTCAGCATAGCTGGGCTAGCTAGCTCTCTCCTGCCCTTCCTGCTTCCTGTTTCCTGCTTCTTGCAGAGACGCAGCCAAGGCAGGAGCCCCGCCCAGTAAGCTTGTCGGCTGATCGAACAGGGTGAGGCTACTCTCTTTTACACACACACACACACACACACACACAGAGAGAGAGAGAGAGAGAGAGAGAGAGAGAGAGAGAGAGAGAGAGAGAGAGAGAGAGAGAGAGAGAGAAGGGAAGTGCAAGTGCCTCTCTCTGTCTCTGTCTCTCTCTGCAAATGGCAGAGGAGGCTGGGAGCCATAGGGGAAGGCTCAAAGAGCCGCATGCGGCTCTGGAGCTGCAGGTTGCCGACCTGTGGACTGGTGCAAGCTAACGCGGAATTGGAAGACAGCATGGCCATCATGGAGATGGAAAGAGCATCATACTTCTTAAGATTTCAAAATATTATAGAAGAGAAGGATGAGAACTTGGAATGGAAATGGACCAAATGAAATTACTTGGAATGGAATTACTTGGAATGGAAATGGACCAAATGAAATGAGAAATGGACTAGGTTTTTAGAGTCAATTCAAGCTACACAAGAAGATATAGAGTTCCTAGGGAGGTCCACATAAAATTCCTCAAAAGATTTACATGAGACGAGATCTTGTGAGCAATAAGAGATCAAGCACTGAAATATAAAGATAAAGAACTTGTAGTTCTTAAACAGATTCCCAAAAGAATAAGAGAAGCCCGAAGAGAATATCAATTTTTAACAAGGAAATTGTTTAATAAAGGAGTGAATTTTAGATGGTTGGTCCCAGAAGGATTATTAATCTTTTGGGACTCAAAAAGATATAGATTGGATACCCCACTTCAAGCAGAGGAATTTTTCAACAATCATAGAGCTTTTCTGGAAAAAGGCGATGTCGAATCTAAGAAACCAGAGGAAACGACGGATGCAGGAGCATCGAAACAAATGGAGGAGGAAGAACCTAAAAAGACCCAATCAGAGGAAGATGTAAGGCCCAAAGATCAGAGGCAGATAAGTTATCCTAGAAGACTGAGATCTAGATACAACTAAAATCATGGAGGAGATTGGAATTTTTTCAACAAATATAAATGGTCTTAACTCCCCATCAAAAAGGAGAAAAATATTTTATAGACTACAAAAATTGAAAATGGACATAATTTGTCTTCAAGAGACATATATTAAAAGACAACACTTTAGATTTTTAGAACAACAAAAAATAGGTAAACTTTATTTTTCTTTGGCATTGCAAAAGAAAAGAGGGGTAGCTCTTTATATAAAAGAAAAGATGAATCCAAAACAAATCTATGTTGATGATGAAGGGAGACTATTAATGGTGGAAATTACATGGAATCAAAAACAAATTTTGATGGTTGCGATATATGCCCCCAATGAGAAGCAAGATCAGTTTTTTCAACAATTACATGACAAACTAGTGGAATTAAACTAGCAAAATCTTTGTGTACTTGGAGACTTTAATGCAATAGCTGACGCAAAACAGGATTATAAAAGCAACAAACAAGGGAAAAAAGGGGGAAATACCCTACCTAAACCCTTCTTAAAGATGAAAGATGAATTATGTATACAAGATACATGGAGAGAAATGAATCCAGACAAAGCACAATATACATTTTATTCAAATAGGCATAAATCGTGGTCAGGAATTGATATGATATGGACTTCTTATAATTTAAAAACTATGATACAAGAGATTGAAATAGAACCTAATATTTGGGCAGATCATAATCCAATTAAAATGATTTGGAAAGGAACTAGGAAGAAATTAAGATGGTCGTTGAATAAATCCATATTGAAAGAAAAAGAATTTTTACAATCAGTAACAAAAGAAATGGATTTTTAAAAAAAAAAAAAATAAGAAAGAAGAAACCTCCATTCAAAATGTATGGGATACAGCGAAAGCTTACTTTAGAGGTTTGGCTATAACTTATGTTGCCAAAAAGAATAAAGAAAAGAAACAAACATAGCTTAGGCTGAAAGAACAACTCAGTAACTTGGAATTTGAGTTACGAAATGATCCACAAAAGAAAAAGTTGAAGACACAAATGGAACTAATAAAGCATAAATTAAACCTACTGGAGATGGATACAAGGTCACAACAGATTAAACGATCTAAACAGATTTTTTTTGAAAATGCCAATAAACTGGGAAGATGGCTTGAATACAAACTGAAAAAAGAAAGAAAAAAAGCTGATAAGTAAGCTACAAGACTCAAAGGGCCAATTACACTGCCACAATGATGCAATCAAAAAAATTACTAAAGCTTACTATGAGACACTTTATAAGATTGAGGTGGTCTCGAATGAGGCAATACAGGACTATTTAAAAGAAGCAAATCTCCCATGAGATCTTGAAAGACCTTTGTAATAAAACTCTTTCAGAGATAAAAATACCAAATTCATGGATAGAAGCCAATATTTCCCTCATACCCAAAGAAGATACTGATCTTACACAAATAAAAAATTATAGACCAATATTGTTATTAAATGTGGATTATAAAATATTTACTGCAATAATGGCGGAAAGAATGAAGAAATTCTTGACTGAATTTATCCACTCGGACCAAAATGGCTTTCTGCCTAAAAGGCAGATAAAGAATAATCTAAGGATCATTTTAAATGTTTTGGAATAATACGAAAACAATTCGGGGAAACCGTTGGCACTCAAATTTCTCGATGCACAAAAAGCTTTTGACAATCTCAATTGGCAATTTATGTTCCAACAGTTGAAGGAGATGGAGTTTGGTGAAAACTTTATAAATGCAATTCAAGCAATCTACAATAAACAATTAGCAAGGATACATTTAAATGGAGATTACACAGACAGCTTTGAAATAAAAAAAGGCATAAGACAGGGATGTCCATTCTCCCTTGTTATTTATTCTTACATTGGAAGTGTTGGCTAGGAATATTAGGCAAGACATGGAGATCAAAGGACTGGAGATAAAAGACCAGAAATATAAATTACAGGCCTTCGCAGATGACTTGGTTTTAATTTTGGAGGAGCCACTGGAAACAGCCACTAAACTTTTGCAGAAAATAGAGAAATTTGGAGAAGTGGCGGGGCTGAAAATAAATAGAGAAAAGACTAAAGTATTAACAAAAAACTTAACAGACAAACAAAAAATCCAACTTGCTATAAAGACAAATCTTCAAATAGCTAAAAATGTTAAATATTTAGGTATCCATTTAACATCAAAATATACAACAGTAAAAAGGACAACTATGAGAGATTACTAAAACAAATAAAAGTGGACTTGGAGAAGTGGAAAAATCTTCAATTATCATAGTTAGGAAGGATAGCGACCGTTAAGATGAACATCTTACCTAAGCTAATCTTTCTAGTTCAAACGGTCCCTGTTAAATTGAGTCAGAAATTTTTTGATGATTAAATGCTACAATAATGAGATTTATATGGCAAGGAAAAAAAGCAAGAATTAAAATTAAATTATTACAAGATTCCAAAGACAGAGGGGGCTTTGGGCTCCCAGACTGGAGACTTTATTACCAGGCAGCTATTTTGCTCTGGCTTAAAGAATGGATCACACTGAGAAATAAATGACTTCTTTATCTAGAGGGACATGATTTGCAATTGGGTTGGCATATGTTTTTGTGGTATGAGAAAAATAAAGTACATAAATATTTTCAAAATCATGCCATAAGGAATGTATTGCTTTCAGAGTGGGAAAGAATTAAACATAAAATTTACATGAAAATACCTGAGTGGCTTTCGACAATGGAAGCTTTTGCTTATCCAAATTTAATTAATTATGACAAACTTGTTATTTATAAAGATATTTTGGACAAAGATGGAAAACTTAAAGACAGACAAGTTCTTCAGCAACATGGTATTGACCTAACATGGTGGTCTTATTTGCAAATTCAGACAAGATATGAAAAAGACGCAAAATCTACGGGATTTTACAAAGAACAGACACCATTAGATAAAATACTGCTAAAAACAGACAAAAACTTGATTAAAAAACTTTACAAATTCTTGTTAAGCTGGAAGATGGAAGAAGAACAAATAAAAGAAACAATGATAGTATGGACAAAGAATTTTGGATATTCCATAGATTTAGAAGATTGGCAAAAACTTTGGGATCGAAATATCAAACTTACTAAAGCAGCTGCATATAAGGAGAATTTATATAAAATGTTTTATAGATGGCATATGACACCAGTTAGATTAGAGAAAATATTTAAAAATGTATCAAATATTTGTTGGAAATGTAAACAAAAACCAGGGACTTATTATCATGTCTGGTGGATATGCCCTAATGCAAAGAAATATTGGTTTAAGAGTCATATATGGTTAGAAAAGATGATTAAAATGCAGATAGAATTTAAACCCAAACTGTTTCTACTAGTAACCATGATTCTTGAAGATGGACACCGATATTCTTGTTCATTATAGCCTATTATTTTTCTGAGCAGGGCAGTGAGAAAATTGCATGGGGAAATCTTCATGGGCTTTCATAGAACGTGAAAGGGTAGACAAAAGAAAAAAAATGAGATATGCTACCTTCAGTTCCTTGGAGGAAAATTAAAGTACAAATGCAATTAATTAATTATTATTCCTATTTTGGTTGGAGATGAGTAGAGTTAAAGGAAATAACTTTATGAAAGGCATGAGTTGTCCCAAAATTCAAAAGGATTCAAAAGGGATAAATTGAAAAAGGCAGACGACAATTCTCTCCTTCTCGGAATAGCACAGCTAATAAGAGTCTTTGGTCAGCTAATTTGTTTGATTAGCTGGGCTGGGTCACTGGGAAGAGACTCAATGGAATAAGATAGCAAGGAAAAATACCACCTGTCTTTTTCTTATATACTAACTAGTGTTTCTCAATCTTCACAACTTTAAGATGTGTGGACTTCAGTTCCCAGAATTCTGGTAGTTGCAGTCCACACATCTTAAAATTGTCAAGGTTGAGAAACACTGCTATATACCATTACTTACTTGGAATCTGTGGCCCAGTGACAAGCGTAGATCTTGGCCAGATGTCCACGCAGAGTTCTCCTTGTCCGCAGCTGTATGCGCCCAACCACTTCCATGTCAGCAACAAGCTATTTGTGGAAAAAGAAATTTAGCTCCTATTCCAAAAGGTTTTCACTAACAGGCTGTATCAAGTCAGTTGCTGAACCTGCAGTTCTCTTGAATTATTTATGTTAGACTTACCTATTCAGACAAATTTATTTTAAACAGAGTAATGTACTGTTAGCATATCCTACCTGAGCAAGTGTAGTATCAGCACAAGCTTTTCGGGCTTCCTGAAAGAGAGAAGGCAAGAGATGACATTTTTAATACCCCCAGTATTTCTACCCTCTATCCTTTATGAAGCAGTTTCTAACTAATCTGTGACCCAACCTTTTTTTAATCATTTACCGTATCCCAACCTTTAAGAGCAGAAAACACCTATCACTCAATCAGAAGTCACTTTTTTTCCTTCCAGCTTACTAATAGGAGAGTGGAAAGAATGCCATCCAACTGGTGACTCGGAGTAACAAAATTCCCTCAACCCAAGACCCTACAAAAACAAAATACAAGCAATTGTTTTCTCTCTCCCCCCCACCATGTTTTTCAGTATTGTATATATATATCCTGATGTGCATTTATCTGGTGGTTTGCAAATAAGACAGGAGAAGCATTGAAATACTCCCACAGCTTCCTAGTTGCTTAGCCACCATTCCTTTGCCTTTTAAAGGTCCATGTGAATTGTTAAAGTTAAATGGGAGCATATGGCAATTTTACTGCTATGCACATTTCCCAGTAATCATGACAATAGTTGCATATGGTTACCTGGGCTGGAAGAGGATAAGTTCTAAACTACATATTGTAGGAATAGGCCAGGTGCAGGAATGGTACGCTGAGTACAAGGAGAGAATAATGACTTTGGCCAGAGCGCTAAAGAGTGGGATGAAACAATGTTCTTGACAGTGAAAACATGATTTTAAAAAAGTATCATTTTGTTGTGATTTCAAATAAGCTGGAACAAAGTCAAAAATATCTTGTCTGCTCCCAAAAAGAAATAACACCATGAGATGAAAGATCACAATCAGTCCCAAATAGGGGGGGGGGAGAGGAGGGGATCACCTGAATTTTTTGAATGAAAGTATAGCAAAGAACACTTCCCAAATGGTGGTTCCTGTATAATCTTAGCTGAAAGTGCCCTTTCAATTTTCTCAGGATTTTTGAAAAACAATCGATAACAATCCACTTGTTGCCAAACTGTGTATTTCTTTACCACTTTTCTTCCTAAGCAGGTAAAATGAGTTATTTTCGCAACAGCCCTGCTGTGAAGATTGGGCGAAGAAAAAGTAATTGGATCAAACTCTTGAATTAACTTCTGGACTGGTTGAAGATTAGAATACATGTGGGTTTTACAAACCCAGGATTCTGTCAGATTTTCCCTTTTTGTAGTTGCAAGGCACTTAAGCAATGTAAAACTGCAGACATCTTAGGTGTAGATTGTTAAATTGAAATTTAAACTGAAACAGTATACAGGTAGTCCTCGACTTACAACAGTTCGTTTAGTAACCGTTTGAAGTTACAAAGGCACTGAAACATATGACTCATGACCTTTTTTCACCAGTGGTTGCAGCCTCCCCATGTTCATGTCATCAAAATTCAGACGCTTGGCAACCGACTCATATTTATGACGGTTACGATGTCTCTGCATCATGTGATCACATTCTGTGAACTTTTGACGAGCAAAGTCAATGGGGGAGCCAGATTCGCTTAACAACCATGTCACTAACTTAATAACTTCAGTGATTCACTTAACAACTGTGGCAAGAAAGATCATAAAGTGGGGGAAAACTCACTTAACAATAGTCTCACTTGGCAACAGAAATCGTGGGCTCAATTGTAGTCATAAGTCAAGGACTACCTAAACTTATTAAACATTTTTATTAAATTATTTTTAGCAGAGTGGTGGGTCCCATTCACTCATTGTCGGCCACATGTGAGCAGATTTATTTCTTACAAATGTGCAAATACTATGCTTTTTAAAATAACTGTAATTATAAAAGTTTTTTATTTTTTTCTAGGATTATACTGTAAGTTGAAATTTCAGAAAGTGCTTAATTGATTCTTAATCCAAAGGCAGCTAGGCAGCTCATTTCCTTGCAGTGAAAAAAATAACCTCATTTTTAGGTAATTTCTGTCTTTCTTTCTCCAGTTTCATTTGTGTGTGTGTGTGTGTGTGTGTGCCTGGGTGAAAGGGTATATTGGTGCAATAAAGTAGCAGTGTTCAACAAGCCCCACTTTTGTTTTCTAAGGAGCCCATTTGGGCCCAGAGACAGTCTACGATATAGTGGAAACACAATAGCATTTTGCTTTGTAATGTGCAAGATTTATACTCTATTTATTTATTTGATTTTTATCCTGCTTTTATTACTTTATAAATAACCCAAGGCAGTGAATATACCTAAAACTCCTTCCTTTTTCTATTTTCACCACAATAACCCTGTGAGGTGGATTGGACTGAGAGAGAGTCACCCAGCAGGCTTTCATGCCTTAAAGTGGGGCTAGAACTCACATTCTCCTGTTTTCTAGGCCAGCACCTTCACCACTAGAGCAGACTGGCTAAAAATAAAAATAAATAAAAATAAGAACAGCCTGTTGAGCCACAGCAGGGAAGCTGGGAGGCTCCAAGGGCATCTTCAAGAATATGGTGCTTACAGGTTTAATCTCATCCACCACTGACTAATGTGCATTATCCATGTTGTAATCTTTGAAATAATTGTGTGAGATACCATTCTCAGTGTTGCAGATAGGGAGCTAAGGCTGAAGAGATTGCTCATGATTTTATAGATGAAATATGAATGAGGGTTTCATAGGTCAGCTTTTATCCTCACTTAAAGGGGAGGAAAACGGCCCCATCTCCACCATTTCCGTCTTGTTCTCAGCATTACCTCAATCTGCTTCTTCAGCTGCTCAGCCTCCTGCTTCATCTTCTCTATTTCACCCATCGTGACAGAGTAGTTTTCAGTTTTCACTTGGAGTCCCCTGGGTCCTGTGGAGATCAAAGGAGAAAGAGGGAAAACCTTAGGACTATGAAATCGTACTTTTTTAAATAGCAATAGCAACCGCACTTAGACTTATATACCACTCCATAGTGTTTTACAGCACACACTAAGTAGTTTACAGAGTCAGTATATTACTCCCAACAATCTGGGTCCTCATTTTACCGACTTCGGAAGGATGGAAGACTGAGTCAACCTTGAGCCTGTCAGGATCGAACTCCAGGCTGTGAGCAGTGAATTAGCCTGCAGTACTGCATTCTAACCACTGCGCCACCAGGACTTTTTTTTAATATTTACAATATCTCCAATAATTTAGATCTTGTGAATCAACAGAGCTCCCTTGTATAACAGAAGGCATAAAAAATGGAGGATCACACCAAGCCTTCTTGTAGTTCTGGGTCAGGCATGTCAAACTGCCGGCCCACGGGCCAGATGCGTCACACCAAAACCGCGCCCACCCCATTGCCGGCAATGGGGAAAAAGTCATGATATGTCGTGTGATGTCACGTGACATCGCGAGTTTAACATGCCTGTTCTGGGTCAAAGCAAATCAGCAAACTCTCTGCCACAAATCACTGTGAAAAGTTCATTTAGTCCAATTTGACTCCAATAAAGGTTATGCTGCCACCACTTATTATGCATAGTTGGGTGTGTATAAAAGCAGGATGGCTTCTTGCACACATATGATTATAAGTGAGTCATGTACTGATGGAACAAAAATGTGGGCTTCATATGGAAAGCCACAACACTACACAAAAAATATTCTATGTAGCTGCTCTGATTTTTTTTCATTTAAATATGAAAGTAACTCAACAAACAAATATTTATAGTCGCAAAGCCAAAGTTTTTTCTGCAATATTTTAGTCAGTCCAGTTAATATTTTTTCATGTTTGCATAACGTTCGCCTTCAGCCACATCACTCCATCAGGTTTCCTCAATTTTCTATCCTGCTGCTTCTAGCTACTGCTTGCTGTTGTGCTAGTATTTTGTATTGGATTCCTGCTGCTGTGACATCAATGGGAATGTCATCTGGGAGGCAGATCTCCATGCTGGGAAAGAAGTCCAATTGCCAATTTTTACACACTGAGATTCTGAGTAGTTGGCAACCCTACTTTTACTTGCTTATATTTTTTTAATCTTCTTTTAATACCATCCTTGGTTCAAAACCTAACCCTTCATTTTTCACTTTTACTCAATTCCTGTGAATGGGCATAAGGTTAGGATTTCTGAATTCTGGCAACTTAAAGATGTGTGGATTTCAACTCCAGGAATTCCTCAACCTGTTGGGTGGAGAATTCTGAGAGCTGAAGTCCACACATCTTCAAGCTGCCAAACTCAAGAAACACTGCTCTAGAAATTAACTATCTTTCGTCAACCAATTGGACCAAATCAATCAGGCTGCTTTCAAGCAAGGATTAACTGTGGAGTTACTATTGTTCATTCACAATATTATAGTTATAAGAGTTTATAGCATGATCAGGCCATCAAGTCCTTTTATTTATGCTACCAGATAAAATCTGATTTTTAAAAGCTTGCTGGAAAAGTCATGTCATTTCAATAAGCAGTATTAATCCAGGTGCATCAATCTCATTTTAGCATACATTGAAGATTACCTTTGCAGCAGATAGTTTTTTTTAAAAAATTAAGCATTAAATATAACAGTTATCTGCTTGTATTACAAATAATTATAGTATAGCAAGTCAAAGTGCTATAATCACAGCAACTCTTAATTAAGCAATTACCACTATATTTTGAAAAATGTTTAATCTTCCATTTAAGGAAGTTGCTTAATAACAATAATCAGAATGCTTCTGGTTAATAATTTAAAAAACAGGATTATAATTAACACCTAGAATGCTAAAGTTTAAACAACTGCTTATTTTAGAAAAAAAGCTATATAGCGCCACTACCATAAAACAGCTTGGTTTTTTTAAAAACAAAACAAAACCTTTTTATTAAGGATTTTAAAAATACTAAAATACAAACTGCCAAACAGAAAAAAAGTAGAAAGAAAACAAAGTGCAAAAGAAAACAAAACTTTAAAAAGAAAGAAGAAAAGGAATTGAAAACAGAATATTTATAGAAGTGACTCCTATCTTCTTTGCAATAAGTACAAGCAAATTTAATATATCCCCACCTTCTATAAAATTACATAATCTATTTCTTCCCATGCCTTTACATTCATAAGTCCAAAAATCATTGTCATTTCTATCCATGGCAAAAACCCCATGAAGATTTTCCAACATTTCATTACACTATTTTTATTCTACTCAGATCAAATAAATTATATCAGTCTTGATCTTTAATTCATCAAGTTGCTGTCATGGGATTGAATTTCCTTTCAAAAATTTTTCCTCCTGTCTCAAAAATTTCTTCAAAAGTTTAAAAACACTCTTGTATAAATGCATTAATGAGTCTTTGTCCAAGTCATTTTTCATCTCTTGGCTTATTATTTGTATTTCCATTATAATTGTCATCCCTGATATAAAATCCACAATTTTTTTATTTCCCAATGTTTATCAGCTGGAATTTCTTTCACCTCTTCACTCAATCAGTTTGTAAATTCTTCCACTCTTTTTAATTGTTTGCTGTTTAGGATCAGCAAACGAATGCTAATACTGCACACAAGCAGGTACGATAATTATTGCTATTAGTTTAGCTATACGTTTCTCTCCCAGTTCTTCAAAGATCCTTTGAAATGTTTCAAGTGTCATATCTTCATTTGTTATTTTTTAAGTTTCAATGTTTTTCTTTTGAATCCAAAATAAAAATTAAGTGTCTCTTTTTTTGCTTTTTCCCTGGCACTTTAGTCTTCCTAGTGTCTAAGTTCTATAAATTTTCAGATTTTTTTAAAATATTCAAATTTCAACCAATTATTTCTTTTCTGATAGACTAAACAATCGGAGTTTCCACAAATATATTATTTTATTTATCTTATTATTTCAAAAATCTTAGCAAAAGGTATTTCAAAAATCTTAGCAAAAGGTATTTCAAAAATCTTAGCAAAAGTTCCAGTATTCCAAATTCTGCGTGTCTCTTAATCCTTTTAAACTTTTTTGAACGAAGTTCTTATTTGTTTTTTTGTCCTGTATTTTTATTAAGTTTTATAAACTTTTTAAAAAAATTTTTATCTTATGCTTAGCCTGATTTATGCAACCCCAAGCTTTATGCCATAGATGCACCATCAGTTTCAGCTGTAATATGTAATAACAAATTGTTTATGTATGAGTTTCTCATGCATATATATGTGTACGGGTATGTACATATGTGTCTATATTCTACATACAATTTTCAATGAAACATTACCATATCTCATTGCAATTTTCTATACATAATCAACATCTATAGGCAACTCATTTATAAGTTGCAAGTCAGATCAGGTCTTCAGTCCACTGAGGCCATAGGTTTGTCTTTCTAATGATGAAGACTTCATATCTTGGTGATTCTCTGTGTCAATCCAATTTCATTGTTCAACTGTTAATTTCCATTTAGTAGGTGGTGTGTGCTAAAAGAAGAAGGTGTCCATAGAAAAATATTAAATTTCGTTTCCAAGTCAAATTTTTATATCAAATTATTTGTTTTCAGAATAACTGCTATACAAAAAGCCTGTGTTTTAAGGAAACATTAATTTTTGTTGCTTACTCCACAAGACAAGTATTTAAATACTTTTTCTGTACAAAACCTACATATGCTGAAATCCAAAATACTTTTTATATAAAATCTGCATATCAAATAGATTTATTGATAACAGGGAAAAATATGCTGAACTTTGGAGTCTTGTAGGATTTAATGATACCTCCTAGGTGCCTCTAAATGTGGTTATTCAATTTCAAATTTCAATAAGCTTTACTTGTAAATTGTGCCAGTAGGTTAGCAACTGGCAAATGGTTTAGTTTGGAAAATGACGAGTTCTAGTTGATTTAATATAAAAATCTCAGCATATAATAAGTTTTACATTGTAAACATTAATTTGGGACACTATCCCAATAAATATATGGATATTCATTATATTTTACATGAAGTAAAAGACAAATCTAAAGAAAAGGAAAGAAAAGCAATAAAGAAAAAGCAAGAAAAGAAAAAAAAGAAATAAGCTAATGAAATAAATGACCTCTACAGCACATAAGGATAGTATTATCATATTTTAATTAAGAGGATTTATAATTTTTAGAAAATATATAGTTCAAGAAAAATGGCATTCACCCCAAAGGTTTATGGATCCTTGCTAACATTGAAAAATTCAGCTGACTGAGAAATCGTCCAAGTAAAAATCATGCTCTTCAAAAGAGACAGAAGAACAATGCAAAAGTAGTCATGACAAAAGTCCCCTTGCTTCTGTTCCTTACCAAAAGTGAAAATGAATTGTTAGCTCAAACCCTTACCCCACCCCAACCCTGTTTTGCTCCTACTGCGTACACCATTTTGCAAAAAATCTGAACTATTGACATGATGAAAAACCTCACCAAACTGCCAAAATATAAATATATCCTGCTTGTACTTTTCCACTGAAAGCTGTGATGATGGCATGGCATAATAGTTTTGTAGCCAGGCAATTTTTGCAGTGGGAACCGTGATTGCAGGTTGCAGCACAGTCTGTTTGTATAAGTATGTTGGATGGTGGGAAGGGAAGGGAAGCTGCTTGAGTCCAGAGGCTGGGAAGTGAGATGAGACAGCTGTTTCCACCAATAGGTAACTTCCTAGAATGCAGCTCCAGAGGAGACACTGGAAAACTTTTTAAGCTGAGAAGCAGCTGGTGAACACAGGGGAACAGCTCTGATCTCAAACAGGCTCAGCAACCACATGTGGATGGGGGTCTGGCTAGTGGGATTAAAATCAGGCTTGCCTATGAGAGATTACAACAGCAGGAGATTGGGAGAAACCAGAGTTTCTGTGACAGGGAAAATGGTCAATCCCATATCCAGTGAAGTTCTAGGCAAAAATGACTT